TTAAGTTGTTTTTGATATATAATGTAGAACAACTGAAAGTAACAAAGTTACTTGATTTTGGTACAACATGACTCAATCTGCCTGGAAAATACATAATGCCCTTTAAAGATGCTTGTTAGGTAATGTTTATAGTGGCATTAATTGGCATAGCTAAATTCAGATTACCTAGAGACTGAACCTAATGGCTAGTTTGACATAGTGGTTTATGCTAATGGTGTTTAATGCATCTTTAAATAATTCCCATCCTTAACTTTGATGACCATTTAAAAGGAAGCCAATAAATATCTTAACAGGAAATGAAAATAGGAGGCTGTACAACACCAGAGATCTTCCTGTATGAAACATGTAATGAGAACTAAACATTGAAAGATTTTGCTGGTAGTAGCAGCTGTCTGACAGAAAAATATAAATGTGTAAAAATCTAGAAAGCAGAGTTCACTAATCCCAAGTGGCACCACACCATCTCCTATCTCCATTTCCTGGTAACCAATCATTGACTTACCACTGAGAAGTGGTAAACCACTCAATTCTAAAGTAACAAAGACATGTCAAACAGCACTTGCATAAATCTCTATAAGGTTTTTGTGACTGGACTTGGTTTAGGATTGGAAGTCTCCTTTGGTCCCTCTTGAATTAGGTATAAAATTCAGCCTCTGGGATCAACTAATTTGGATTTATTCTAAATGAAGATAAAATTAGAACTATTTATTGTATGTAAAACATTGGCTGTTTATAACTTTTTAGTAGAACTGTGCTTCTGAATCCTTTTAAGCTATCCCTTTACCATTGATAATATGGGTTTCTAAAGGTTTTTTAAGTTTTCTTTTGGATTTGGCTGCTTTGTTTTCACATTTTTTTTGACCTATCCAGTATAATATGTTTGTTATACAAGTCATTTCAGTCCGGTCTATGAATAATGCAAACATAAAAAAATATTTTGAACTTGTGTGATAAACCGCTGGTTTGTCTAAATGTAAAACACAACATTGCAAAACCAAATTTTAAATGTGCTCTTTAAGCACTTTCTTTTTCACAACCTTTTGAAAACTCAGGCTTGGTTCCCCTTTCTTAAGTTGAGTATGAAACCTGCCAAAGATGCAGTACATATTTAGCTTGGATCTGTGGTGTCCATATGTGGCACTCAGGACCCACTTTCCTGCGTGTTTTAGATGTGTCCTCTCTCCATCAAACTTGACTGGAACGACTGCATTACTTCTGAATTCAGTTAAGTTCTGCAGGAACAAGGTTAAGCACCTCTGCACTAGACTGATAAACTGAAGCATGATGTATACCCCATGTCAGGCTTTCTGTGAAACATGTTCCTATTTTCTAAAAGACATGACTTTAATATACTCTTCATCTGATGCGAATTTTATTTTAGGCCTGCTACTTCTTCTTTTGTTTTTGAGTCGTTCTCATTTTTTAAGTATACTCTGCATGATAATAGACATCAGTTCCATGGACTGGATAAATTGTGAGTAAAAAAGAGAAAAATGTTAAGACCCAGAGCAATCTGGAGATTAATTGTTAAATACAAAAATTACTTATTACAGATTAGGTTATAAAGGATGTAATTTAAAACCTTCCCTCAATGTCGTAAAAATGTACAGCATGAAATACACAGTTGAAGGTCTGACTCAATGATGACTTTGGCTGTAGAAAATTTGCAGCAGAGCTGATGCCCTTGCTATTTTGCACGGGTTTGACCTACAGAGTCCACTGCATTATAAGCTCAGCAACATTATCCAAAGCCTGCAGATACAAGCAGTACTGCAGAAACACAACCACCTCAGGATATTGTGACCTTAGCTGCTCCCAAACCTCACTGTTCAGCTCCTCTCTTTGCACAGCCTCCTTAAGTCTCTTGACCTTCTTGATCTGCAGCATTTTCCCATTGACCTATCACAACCCTTGTTGCTTGGCATTCAGTTTTTCTTTTCTTTTCTTTTTCCTTTTTTTTTTTTTTTTTTTTCTTTGTGTGAAATTTGGTAGTCATGGTAAAAATATTGACATATCTAAGAAACAAATACTGATAGGGTTTAAAATAAAAGGGCTGGAACTGCATATCAGGTACACCTTCTCATTTTACAAGGGAATGAGAAAGAGATGGCAGATTCTTTCATCAGGAAAGTAATCACAGATGGTATCTAACAGATGGTATGAAAACTAGAAAAATAAAAAAAAACTTCAATTTATGGAAATTTTGGATAATGTAGGTAGAACAAAGCAAGTATTTGTTGCATGTTAAATTTGATTGTTAATAAAAGGAATATTGTGTTCACTAAGGTAGGTAGTTTTGAGTTGAAGAACCAGGATTACCAGCAGATGGCGCTCTAATACACACAATAAAAACTTCACAATAACCTGGTGGATCTGTTGTCAATGTAAAATATTGCAATGAATGTGGGTTTGAGTTATTGATTTAAGACATGCAAAAAACAAGCTGAACAAACAGAAAACAGATTCATATTGAGCTTAATTTTATGGTCCAGTGGACACATGATAATCAAAAAGTTATTGAACTCTGTAATGATGTTTTCTAAATGCTAATTTTCAGAAGAGCTACCAATACAGAACGTGGAGAAGTTGTAGCCTCTGAAAACATCCTGAAAACATCCAAATCTGCCTGTTGCTTGAGCAGGTTTGGCTTCTAGCTGAATCGATCTGTCTGTTTTGGTAAAGGACCCTGCGCAGAACTGGGAAAGCCTTTGTTCTCAGTCAGATTTAGAAGGTAAACCTGACACCAGCTGGAAGGGTAGTGCTCCTTTAACTGTGACCTCGACTAAAGCCGAGGGGAATTTATGGTGCTGGTTGCTCACAGATCTGTGTCAGATCTGTGTCGTTCCTCTGTAATACTTTGGAGCTGAGCTCATCTCAGACTTACAGACTGTCTCAATTTGGGGGGCATTTAGTGTGGCTTTGAATAGCTAATTTTCATGTAAAGCATAGAGTGACTTTGCAAAGCTATTCATACCCCAGGAACATTTTTGTTACAACCATAAACTGCCACCTATTTAATTTCAAGTTCTTTTGTCATAGATCAGTAATAAGAATAAACATAAACTTTATAAGTAAATTGCTATAAATAGTGTGTGGTTTTCAAATGTGAACTGAATGGTGTGCATTTGTTTCTAGCCTGCTTTAATAGGTTACTCCTAAATAAAATTCAGTGCAACCAACTTCCTTCAGAACTTATCTAATAAGGTGATAAGAGAACTCCTGACTACCATTTCCATTCAGGGCTCAGGGGTTTGTTAGCAAACAGTAGTGAACAAACAGCTTCATGAAAACCAAAGGACGCACCAGATAGGTCAGAAATGGTTGTGAAAGCTGTTAAAGCAATGCTAATCATAAAAAAAAAATATGTACATTTCAAGCTTTGGGAAATTTTACAGAGCTCAACTGGGATCCAAAATAATAAAAATATGGTCCAACTGCAAACCTACTTATACATTAAATTAAATTAACAGGCCAGGATAGTGAGCATTATTCCGAGTGGGCACCAAGAGGCAGCTTATAATTCTGGAAAAGCTGCAGAGATCCACAGCTCAGGTAGGGAAAACTGTTGATAAGACAAATTATGACTTGTGCACTCCACAAATCTGACCTTTAAGGAAGAGTGGCACAAAAAAGACAACAAGGTCACACCTAAATTATTTTTTAGATGTTCATGCAAAATGCTGTGTAGTGGTAGTGAATGACTACAAACATACAGATTTTGAACAAAGCATACCCTTTCATGTGTTACACTGGTCTATTCAGAGTTGATGCCTAAATCCAATTAAAATGTACGACTTAAAAAATTATGTTCACATGCATGTTTCATTCAAGCTTGATTTATTTTAGAAAGTAGAATTGGTGCAACTGTTTGATTACTTTCCAGATGTGCTGTATCCCAAAGACTTGCAGCTGTAAAGAAAGAGAAATGTGTTTCATTCTTTTTATTTGTAAATCATTCATCACTCTCAATCTGCTTCACATGCTCTACTTCTTGTTAATCTAACATATAAAATCCCCGCAACATACAAGTTTGTGATAAAGGTTAAAGGGCATTAATACTTTCGCAGACGTAAAAGTCTAAGTAAATCAAAGTGTGCTTGTGGACTCAAATAAAAAAACAAAGGAAAAAAAAAAAAACAAGGCACATGTAACATTAATGTTTGTCATGCCGGTGAAGGTGAGGAGAGTCCCAGGCTCCAGTGGCCACCTGCACAAGACGGTAGACGGGGACTGGGAGTGGAGCGACGACGAACTGGATGAGGGCAGTGAGGAGGGTAAAGCAGCGGTGAATCAGGGCAGGGTAAGTGAGGCATTACAAATACATTGAATTTTTTCACAGACAAGACAGATTTACTGCTTTAACACAGATGTTTTAAAATATTCAGGGTTACTAAGGTGTTTTATGTGAAGCATAAACCAGCATGAATCCTCCCCCTCTGTTTTTGACAGCGCTCATTCCTCCCCTCCTTGATCAGTTAGTTTTGTAGACATTAGAGGGTTGTCTAGAGTTCACTGTAGTGGAGGAAGGAGAAAGTGAAGTGTAGAAGAACCCTTTGATAAATATGATATGGTAAAAAGACGTTATGTATTATACAATAAATAACATTTGTAATGATTTAAAACATAAATTACTGCTAATAGAATATCATTTGCGTTTTCTTTTAGTTGTCTCTGGTAGGTTGCTTTCAAAGAGTTGAGAAGCAAAATTGAATAAAATGTAAAAATATATTTAAAAAAATGAATGAAGTGTCTGAAATTGATTATTTTGTCGCTCTGTTATTAAGATTGTAATTATTAGTTACACAGATGAATGTGTAAATATGTTTTTTTTTTCCAGTCACGAAGGGTCAAATATGAGGCCAAAGACGTAAGTTAGATTCTCATCTCATTTATTATTTAAGGAAGAGAATTAACAATATTTATACACTTTCTTGATAAAGAAGCAGTTAGGTAAATAACTTAACAAAAATGTACAGGTTTGGCTGCATGATAATTAGAAAACCAGATAAAATGCAATTAATTGAAAATGTTTTGTAAAAATAAGTTTAGCAATATTTTACACAAATTTAGCGCATATTATTATATTTTTTGTGACAATGTATTGAAGTCAGCCAATCTCTCTTTTTTTAATCCGCTCTTTTCTGTTTTTCTTCCAAGATGTTGTTAAAATTCATAATTTGCGCAATCATGCCTCTCAATTTCTTCCTCCTAGAATGAGGAAGATGCCAACAATATCCCTATAGAAGGCTTGTCTGTACAGCATCCCCAGGTGAGGGATTCTGCAGAAGCAGCGCTAATTTGTCATGATTCAATGAACTTGATGCTGCAGTGATTGTGTGTGTGTGTGCATAATGTACATGTGCAGCTGGCGCTATATGTGTGTGTGCGTGTGTGTGGGTGTGTGTGCGTGTGTGTGGGTGTGTGTGTGTGTGTGTGTGCGTGTGTGTGTGTGTGTGTGTGTGTGTGTGTGTGTGTGTGTAAATGTGAGAGGGTCTGTCTCCAGGATGGATGCTCTCAGCAGTAATAACTCACAGTAAATGGCTGCCTGCCTGACAGTGCCAGCTCAGTGGATAGGTGTATCTACTCCCAAGACTTACTCTGTTGTCATTGTGAAAGTGAACCAGAGCATTTTTGGGGTTGTCTTATGTCCCACTTAAAAATTATCTGAGAAGACATTTTTTACTCAAATTATCAATTCTTTCTCACATAAAAGACCCATAATATTGCAATATAATAGTTGTAATTATATAGACAAATAATACATCACACCTTTATTTATTGTTCCTTTTCTTTTCCCCTTACTTTCCCAACTTTCCCTACAGATTAGGTAAAACGATTCAATCATGCGTTGCATTACAGATTCAGCTCTGCACACACTTTGGATTTATTCTGATTACATGCTCCTTTTTCACTGCAGGGCATGATTTTATATTTTGTCTGTGTTGAAACGGCATAAAATAGGGTAAACTGATTCATTCCCAGGTATTTTCGATGCAGGTGGAACCATATGAGAATACACCCTTCATTCAAGGTGCTGTGAACATGGTACTGCGGCTACGGTAAGGCTGAACATAGTTTCCTACATTACTCGCGTACCAAAAAAAACATTCAGTATCTTCCAAAAGTACTCACTCCTCTTAGCTTGTTTAAATTTGGTCATTTTTACATAGAAAGCTTTAATATATTTTTGATAGGGGATTTAAGTGTCCGGCTAACCCAAAGTGGTGTTATTGGAGAATTGAAAGGTGGCTATACTTTTAAATACATAGGTAAAAGAAATAACGCACGAAGACGTAGTTCTTGCTGCTAGGCCACAGGCGTGCTTCGGAGATTTATTACACACTCTGCCACGGGACTCCTTCTGTGGCAACTCCTTAAATAGTATTTCCGCTCTTACAGTGTTAAATTGTGAAGTGGAAGGAAAATAAAGCACATAACACCAGTTCTAAAGTCCCTACACTGGCTCCCTGTAGCTCAGAGGATAGACTTTAAAATACTGTTAGTTTATAAATCACTGAACGGTTTAGCACCACAATACATTAAAGATCTGTTATTGGTGTACCAACCGTCTAGACCTCTCAGATCTTCTGGTTCTGGTCTGCTCTGCATCCCCAGAACCAGAACCAAACGAGGAGAAGCAGCATTCAGTTTCTATGCACCACAAATTTGGAATAAACTTCCAGAAAACTGTAAAACAGCTGAAAAACTGGGTGCCTTTAAATCTCAACTTAAAACCCACCTGTTTACAGTTGCTTATGGCAATTGATGCCTTCAATGTATTTGCGAGTGACTGGGGGTCATTGCGCGTATATAAAACCCTGTAAATTCTAGACTCTAACAGGTAACCAATTAATGCACAAAATCCGCGTAGGACAGCAAAAGTCCTAGCGCAAAATTTTTGCGAAACAGGCGGACGGAGCCTGGTGCTGCAAGACTGGAGGCCTTGTCCTGTTAGGCTGTGATTTTATTATCTTTTTATTACTTTCTTTTTCTTTCTCACTGTTTAAAATTATGTAAAGCACTTTGAAATGCCTTGCTGCTGAAATGTGCTATACAAATAAAATTTGATTGATTGATTGATAAATGCTTTCGAATTGTAAAATGTGAAAAGCTTCAGGATGTAATTTTTCAAGGTGATTTAGATAAAGTCACTATTATTTCTTTATTTCAACTGGAGCAAGAAGGCTACAGATACATCTGTTGTTCTGCTACAATCTTCTTTCAAAAGACTTTATTGTTAAGAAATACAGTGACATGAAGAAGTGAAGTCTTGTTGTTCAGCTAAAAATATCAATCTAGATACTCGGCTGTTGTCAAACGACAAAATGTATTAGCTGAATTTGAAAGAGATGGCAATGAAAGTCAAAATCAAATTGAGCTTTTCATCATATTAGTGTGGTTTCTATTACTCTGTTGATGATTCAAAAATGTTAGAGATGTAAAATAGAACTGGACTGAAGATGTGCAGGAATGGACAACCATTTATAGGTTCTTTTGATAGTTCAGAGCCTGTGGCTCCCCATAGAGGCGGTTGCCGAGTGCTGATTTGCTCATGCAGACATCTGAAGGCCCCCCTCAGGCGTCAAGAACAGCACAGATTTTTTTTTCTACTCAGTAACAAAACATAGGTCCAAAAACAACAGGTGGCAGTGAACTGCTTACTGCAGGGTAGTCAGCACTTCAATACGAAGGGCTTTGATGTGTTCGGCTCTCTGTTCTTCAGCTCTGTAACGTACAGAGATTTTGCCCGATAGTGCTCATAGATAATCAACACAACAGACAGAATCAATGCGAAATGCATTTAATCTCTCCAGAGTATTTGACAAGCTATATTAATTTAATATAGCTAGTGTCTGCTATAAATATTTCCGTAATGTGTGCGCAACCACTTATACTGTAAATGGAATCATAATTTTCATGAACTCTGATAATAAAAATTTAATTTGAAGAACATATATTTTCAAAAAGTGGATCCCAAATCGGTTTTAAAAAATATTAAATGACAAGCATTAAATGACCAAATTCATGAGATAAGAATAAACATCAAATTGGTTCTCATTCTCAGGCAAGAAAAGTTGAAAGCTGATTAGCATGAGTTTATAGTAATGAGATTCCCTCTGAAGCAAATAGTTAGCAATTGGACCAGTCTGATTATTTTTCGTCGTGTTTTTCGAAAAAGTATGGAGAAGTCTAGAAAAAAGAATTACAAGTCTAAATGAATGTATGCACATATTAATAAAAGTAAACTGAAGTCTACTTATAATATTTGAAACGAGATGGGAGCAACTGAGATAGAGGTGACATCTCCATGTTTCTTTACAAGCCTCTTACAGCAAATCCAGAATCACATAAATGTCAGACTGTTCTGAAACATGGTGCTAATATTGAATTTTGGAGAAACATTGATATTTAGTCTCAGTGAGTTTGTCTGCAGTTGTTTCTGTAAAAAAAAAAAAACATTCATAAACTTTAATCTTCTGCACGGCCATCCCAAGCTGCACACAAATTGACAAGAAAGTAATTGCTTTCCAGTTATTTACTTAAAGGACTTTTTTTATGAGCTGCATTTACCCTTTTTAACAGGACAAAGTTGAATTGATTAGATGGAGGAAGAAATCTAAAAAAAATATCTGGGGCTCTGTAAAACTGGGGCAAGACTATTTACAATTTTATGAGAGATGTAGATATTAAATAATAAATCTGTTGATTGTAGCTTTAAGAGTGATAAAATGAATGTAGTTCCTTCAAACATTTAAAACATTGGACTGTCTTAAAGATTTGATGAACTGAATACTTATATTTTCTGCTCGTCTTAACTGGGTTTGTTTGTGTGTGTTGCCCTCTTGTCATTGTTCTCAATCTTGTTTGTATAATTAGAACATAAAAATTGCTAGATTATTGAACAGAATCTCAAAGATCTGATATTTTTTTCTGGCCAAATAATGCAGTATACCTAAGCACAAGAAGGCTTCAGTTTAAATGAAGGAGACTCAAAGTTAAATGACTTTCACCACTGTTCAAACATAAAGTCAGAGGGGAGAAAAGAAAGTGGAAATTGTATGTTTATGGAGACTGTTGGCTATTAGTGCTGCGTTCAGTTTCTCTTCACAATCAGAAATCCGATCTGGAAATGACATCATTACCTAGTTCCGTATGTTTTAGCAGCAAGTTGGAATTCCAATGGCATGTACTAAATTTTCTGTAACAAACTAAGTTGCGATTTCAAACCGGTAATGTATTTTTCTCTATTTGATACTTTGAAACACTTATGCGTGATAGCAATGCGCTTCCGCAGTGAGTGAAGCCTCTACAGATAATGGGAAGACTCACATTATTATGTTAAAGTTGCTCTGATTTATCCATTCGTGCTGCTTGTCTTGGAACACACATAGTTTGGAAATGTTGACAGCTGTTTGGAAACTACAGTCTCCAAAGGTCTGCATTGTCCAAGGAATTCACACAGACTGAGAAAAACCAGCCACAAAACTCTAATCAGTGAATCTCTATCAGTTGGTTCTTCTGTTTGCACATGACAGGAAACAGTGCTGGCCTATACAGGCCAACTCTGGGATCATTCTAAGTGGGGTTTTTTGTATATATATTAATGTCTGAGTGTTCATTCAGAGGTTATATGTTCTTCCTACACACCAGACCAAAATAAAACAGTGTTGGTGGATGAAGTGTTGTCTTCCTGTGACTTGTGCAGAATCTGTTTTTTTTTTTGTTTTTTTTACACATTGCTCCTAAATATTTTTAGATGAAGGCTTCAGAGTTTCAGGACATTTATCATAGCAGCTTTGATCACCATGACATGCTGCCTCATCAGCCAGCATTGGACAACCAGGTCATTTTCCTGAAAATGAAAGTAGCCACGCTCAGTCATAATAAATTGAAGGTAAATCAGAGCTAAGACTGTTTAGAAAGTGCTGTGTGTAATAAACTCATTAGCGATCTGTCTTCATTTGTGTGTGTCTTGAGTTATGGTTTAAAGTTCCTCACAAATGTGACATATGGGTTTGTGGAGTGATTTATATAACTGGACTGGAAACCAAATTAATCTCATCCCAGGAGTGGTGTTGGTTTTCAGCAATATCAGTTCCTGCCTGCCCCATAAAACGGAGGCTCCCAGAACACAAAAACATTTTCTCAGATTCGTACAGCAGTACTACTTGATCTGCATAGAGAAAAAGTATAAAATATTTTACTCTGTTCTTCTATTGGAATGTTGTACAAAGGCTTGCCTTTTTATTTTTGCAACATCATTCCACACATGCATCAGCGATGCAGGGTTGATGGAGATAATAAGGCAATTAGACAGCTGCTACCTTAGTACTTGTATCACTATGTCGAAATTAAATTAATGAGATATGTCCCCCTGCCCTACACGGTTTGCTCGTTGACAACAACATCCCATTTTTCCTCTGAAGTTGTGCCTTTATGGTGAATTTAATTATTTCTCTAATGAAGCTTGTTTACAATCATTGTGCCAGATAGTTTTCCTTCAGCACCTACATTGATTACACCTTTCAGTGTGAAAATTGTTATCAAAAGGTCAGATTGTGATGTTACTGGTAATGACAAAACTTCACAGGATTATCGCTCACCTTTATTGTCATCCTCCCAACGGAGTGTTTGAACACCTGCGCGATGTTTTGATTTCAGAGCGCCTCCTCGTTGTTATAAAAAAGAGGGAAAATTGTCTCTCTCTGTTTGGAGAGAGATGTTGTTTTCTCTCCCAACATCGAGAGAAAACACGATTAGCAACTGGAATGTGAATATTGTGGTACTCTGAGTAATGACTAGAGATTTAAAGTCCTCCAAAGGTTTGGAGGCCAAATCAATGGGGAAAAAAAGAGAGTTGCTGCATTTTTTTTTTTAGGATATCACAAAAAATATTTTAACAACGACAAGTATAAGACTGAATAAAAATATATTTACTTACACAACAACGAAGTTAAGATGCAACATTGTTGTTCAGTCATCAACAAGGATGAAATTAGGCTGAGATACATTTTTGTGGTAATCGCTTTCATTACTGCAACAGTGTCATCAAGGTACAATCTCTTGATTACCTTAATTGGATGGTTTATAGATGCAGTAATGAGGCAGAAATAACCTCTGACATTTTGCCGCCAGTTTTGAGCATCTTTTATCTTTTGTAGGTGTACAAAGGGATGCATTAGTAAACATGGGGACCATTCAGATTTACAGGACATTTTACTATATGGTCATCGCAGCAATTAGAGAGGTCTACAAAACTCCATAAATGATTAAAATGACACAGCAGTAAGGAGTTCTTCAAGTATTCAAACAGGACGCCAACATTTTCAGATCCTGTGTGGTCCACAGATTTTGAAAACCAAATACATCAACATAAAATAACTTTCTGTTTTCTTATTAGCTTCACTGACAGTTGTTGCTACAAGGTTACATTCTCCACAGTTTTTAATCACTGAAACAACCCAGCATGACTTTTACTACTCTGAATGTTTCTACAAGACAGATAAACATCTATCTTGTTTCGTACTCTTCTCAACTAAAATGTATTTGCAGAATATTCTCTGTACCAGAAAGCAATCTCACAAATCAATAAAATATATCTACTGATATATTTTCTGCATACCTTTCTGTACACTGTACGAGCTTACTTTGTATATTGTATTACTTAAATGTTCAACAAGTCAGCCGAAAAGTCAGCTGCAGGCGCATAGGACGATGGGATTTAGATTGCTGTCCTCAGGTCAATATCTGATCAAAGAATAATGCAACTAGTTTGACTTCTTACCTAAGGTGGGTAGAAATATACCAGATCATCTCTGAAGGCGGGAAAAGTGTCTTCAACAATGCTTTCACACCTGCATTTAGCACTATTAGAACATGATCATCTTGCTCAGGATGAGTTTTAGTGCCAAGTGTGAATGGGGTCAGAGAAAACCATCTAACACTTTCTTCTGCTGTCTTACTAAAGAAAGCGGTAGACTATAGGAACAGTGTAATGAACAATAGAAGCAGTTTAGAAATTGTAACCTTGAACAAGCTTGATATATGTTAATACTGAAAACCAGCCTGTGTTGACTTAGTTTGAAGCCTGATTAGTAGGTAAAAGAAGATTCGGCCTTAGTTAAAACTGTGTGCCAGACTCGTGGTCCCATTTTTCTGTCTCTGCTCTGAACAGAATATGACCGAATCATCTGATTCAAGGATGTGGCTTTGTATTTCTAAACACTTTTCTCCTGTAGTTTCTAATCCTATTATCTGTGCATCCAGACATGATCTCCTGTTTGTTCCCTAACCTTCAGCTGCCCAGTCATGTTTCATTCCAGGTGCAACCCAGTGGCTCATACTCCCCCTGTCTTCCCTTTCAGGAACTCCAAAAAGGAGCTGAATGACATTCGGTTTGAGTTCACCCCTGGGCGAGGTAAGAGCTCAGTCTAAATTAATTTTCCTAAATTGCACTTTTCTTTGTAATAACATTCTCTCTCTCTCCTTATCGATACGGGCATGTATTAGGCAATATCATTGCGCTGTGGGCAGCATCTAATTTTGTGTGTAACACAATTACCTGCTAAGTGGAATGATGCAAGCCAAATATTTGTCATGTTATTCCCTCACAAGACACTGCTGATGGCGTCTCCCAGGAGCTTTACTCAGCCGGTCTGGTCAATGGGCTCGATGTCTTAATTGGTAATGTCACACCTCTTTGTCTTCAATGAATTGTGTTTTTCTGCAGTTATTGAAGCAAGTCCTCTGTGAAACATCTGTAAAAACTATTTCTGTTATAATAATCAGTATTAACAAAGAGACTAAAACAATTAAAGGGAGTAATATTTAAAAAATTCCCTTTCCACAATTTGCTTTTATCCCCACGTTCATGTAGCTTCACCATGGTAAAGTATTGATTTAAACATTATCTTGAGGATACAGTCTGTCACAGCACTGAAACGCTGTAAGTCAGACTTCACTTCTGTCATACCATCACGACGTTTCCCCCCAAATTTTTCTTCCAGGTAATGTTACACTTATCAAGATTGGGAAGCAAGTTAAAATGCTCAGATGGAATTTGTAGTTAAATCTCTCCCTTATTTTCCTCAAACAGTGAAAAAACAAGTTGCTACATCAAATTATTGGTAAAAGAAAGCATTTTCTTACCTGTTTAACTTGCTCATAAACAACTAATTGTGCTCATAAATAATAATTGTGATCACCTTGATGATCTGGTAGTTGACTCTGCTTGAGCTAGTGACATTAGTTGTGAGATAAACTGTGTTGTTTATCTTTGTCCTTTAGCTTTGGATTATTGCTCTTTCTCAAATTCGAGTTTCCAAATGTGTCCAGTGGAAGGACTACTTTTGATTGGCGAGGAGAAATATGTCCTCCTTAACTGCAGTTACTTCCACAAACTCTCCCACATTTTTGCACAGTTTTTGTAAAAAAGTGCTTTTCCATTCAAGATATTTCAATTAAAATGTCTTTTTTTATTCATGCATATTAAAATAATCTAATATGGATACTTTTGGATACATTATGGACATATTGTGTCTTTCTGTTGTAGAGGGGATGACTCAAATGGCTCCATTTACTTCTGAAAAGTGCATAAAATACTCTACTAAAAACCAACAGAATGGCAGATTATGCTTTACTCATCCTTTATGCTTTAAAAGTTTTTAGGTCTTCTGTTTCAAAATGTGATATTTGCCCTTTAAACTTCACAGAATCAGAAAGTATTGGTGATTATATTAACATTTGACTCTCCATGTGTTTTCATTTGAACAGTGATATTCTCTCTTTCCCTGTTACAGTTGCTGCTAACCTTCAAAAGATTGTAGATGACCCAATTACCTATAAAGTGTTGACCTTTAAGCTGGTGAGTTTCCAGATGACTGATAGCTGATGACAGCCTTAGTGGGTTTTGTCATGCCTGACAGGTTCCTCCTGTTAACAGCCTGTTGATGCATGATGTGATGAAGGATTCAATTGCTGGAGTTACTGCTGTCTAGCAAAACAAATGACTTCAGGGTGAACCGGCATCTGTTCCTTGGGTTTTTCTGTTCACGACGCGGAGGAAAGCATTTTATGCAGAATTAGATCAGAGCTGACACTGCAGAAAACTATCTGCAGCAGATATGAAGTTAATTTATTTATTTTTTTGGTCTAAGTCATAAAGAACACCATGACTAGCTGTGGTTTTGAAAATCAAAGGGAAGTATAATTTAAAGGTTTCATCCCATTTTTATGTATTATTTAGAATGACACTTTCAAAGTTCTTGAGGTTTAATGAGATACTTTTTACTTGGTAATATTCGAAAAAGAAATGACAAGGGACTTCAGACATATTCTTACTACTGCAAATGTCCCACTTACGCCTTCTGTTCTTTTTTTTTTCCCAGATAAGATGGAAAATAAAATGAAATGTTGCAGCTCATTAGTCATTATTTCCTTCACCACTGAACTTGTGAACTTGCAATAGTCGTTCCCCTCTGCCATGATCGCTGTGTTTACTATGCTGCTTTAAGTCACTCGCATTTCAAAATTCACAATCTATCTCAAAAGACTTGCAGTTGCAGCGAGGGTTTTTTTTATTACGTATTGATTTAGAGCTCATGAATCCAAAAGTAAGATCACACTTTTCAGGTTTTTATTTGCCAAAAAGTCTTTTACTTCACCTATACGCACTATTTTATGTTGCTCTGTCACATAAAATCTAATAATTGAAGTTTGTGATTGTAAGGTGAGAAAATTTAAAAAAAAAAAAAACTTTAATGTTTGCAGCTATTTAAACCTGTTTATTAACCAGTGAAGCCAAGATTGTAGCATTTACTGGAACATCATCCTCTCATATGTGTGAACTAATGTGTAGATAGATTCATAATTAGCAGTAACTTTGTTTACTATGTCCGCATTCATAAACCTGTCACTGTGTAGTGGTAAAGACCTTAGCATAAATTACTACCTTTTGTTTTGTCAACAAACAGTGCTGAACCAGCTCAAGTCACATAATCTAATTTAATATTGATTTTTTTTTTCTGATACAGTGTAGTTACTTGACTCATAAATCTCTCACAGTAAACAACATTATCTACACTTCTCTACACAATGAGAATATACCTGTCCTTTGTTGCATTTTGAACAACCCAAAACATAACATTGTGTGGTGCTGAATGAAGTTGTTTGCTTTCCTCGAAAAATATATCCAATATATTATATTTACAGCAGGAGAAATGCAAGATCCAGGGAATACAATGATATTTTATTTCGCTGCGTTTCTTCTGGTTAAATCTTTGTGGACACTAGTGGTGGTTCTGTGTTTGAGATTTTCACAGGCTGACTAGATTGTTCCATGCTTTTGTTAAAGTAAGAACATATCACAATCAATTTTAACAATCAATTTTATGATTGTATGAATTTTTTGGACTAGATTATTTATGTTACAGGTCAAATCTAACAATCTAACCTTTCAGCCATGTTTTCCCAGTTTTCCCTGTTATATTTTCCAGAGCATATTTTATTTGCTAAGGCTGCATCACTGAGGATACTGATAAATCCCTGCCCAACTCTTCTACTGTAAGCTAAGAGTTACGAGGGCAATACTATAAAAGCCAGGGAGTGACAATAATTACCCTCACAAGGGAAACAGTTCATAACACTTTATGTGCATAATTTATAGAATGGGTGTCTCTGTGACAGCTTTATGGTTGAAGTGACCAAGAGATCCAGTGGTCTCTGAGCTCAAAGCTGACCTCTTCTGACATCACTGCCTCAACGTTGCCTAGACAGTCAGAGGTCTCAGACCCCTGCAGTGGTCCGGCGAGTCTCTCTGAATTGTGACACTTTTGAAACATATAGTCTCAACTTTTCTTTAGGGAATCTAAATGAAAACCAAATTTTAATTTTGATTTACAGAGAAACCAAAATGAGGATTAAATGTTCTATTGGAAGTACATGCATATAAATGGTAATGACACCAATGCAAATGACAAAAAAAAAAAAAAAAAAAAAAAAAAAAA